ATATATAATTTTCTACATTATGTTCTCCCAGTTTAACTATTTTCCATTTTCACATTTCTTACACCCTTACTTCAACAAAACTCTTCTGCTGCTGCATAATGTAATGTTAATAATCAACTACAACTGCTAACATTGTGAATAGCTTGTTTTAAAGTTGTTGCAGTCAGATCTTCTGTATTTTGTTGTGTATTTTTTTCGCTTTTTTTCTCGTGTTTTTTTTTTTCAGGTTGTAGTGTATTCTAATGAAGATGGCTTCTGGGTCTTCAAAATCTCAGCAGTAATGGTATGCTTAAAGAAATGACTCTGTAGGCAAAAGTTATTCTTGAACAGTGAGGTTTATTCAGAATAACAGCCTAAACCAAATCAAGAGACTTCGGGCCAATGAAGTGACGTAATCCCCAGAACTTTCTGGGTCGCCCCTTCTTATAAACCTTTTACCACACCCAGGTGTAAACAAAGCAGGATCAACCTACATGCATTCCTTCTGTAGGAGTTTGCTGCTGAAATGACACACAAACATGTTTACTACCCAAAGCTGTTTTTAACAAATGAGCTAAGGATGAGTGTATTTTTCCCATCCTTATAAGGAATTGCTGAGTCGTTAATTTAAAAGCAAACAGCTCCTGACTGAAACACAATTCTGCAGGATGACTCCATACACCTCAAGGTTTTTAAGCGGACCCCATTTTAACTTCAGCAGATCACAGTCTCCCTCTGAGTAAGTTAGAATTTGTTGATCTTCACATTTGTCATGCTGGAGTTTTTTTGCTTTTTTCACTAAGAATTGTCTTATCTTACCATAGGTTTCAGTCTTTGAAAGATGAGGAGTCATCTTCATAGTGGTGACCTCACTTGTGATCATCATGGCAGCTGCGATTCCTTTGGAGGAGGTAAATTGCTAAATATCCTGTTTACATTTAGAATAATTTCTCAAAACATTTTATTTTTCCAATTTAAAGTAAGGGTAGCTACACAGTGTGATTACTCAAAAGTAAATTTGTTAAGTCAGATTGATGTAATCTTCCTTAGAATTTGTTTTAACTCATATTCTTTGTTGTCTTCCTAAAGCAGTAAAAATTTAGTTGTACTAAATATGATTCACAATATGTTTTCTATTGTTTTCTCTTTTTTTGTCTCTCCCAGCTAAAATATGGGGACATAATTGCCTTCCCTCGTACAACAGTATGCGGCGTCCCTTACACTTACAAGCATTATGGTATTTTTCTGGACAAAAAGAGATTCCCAGACCAAAAAGAAGATGACAACCTATTTCACTTCACAGGTACAGTATCTGTGGCTAACTTTAAAATCCAAACATATGTATGAATGTAAGTGCATTTGTTTGTGTCAAATATCTCCACAATAACCACAGGTCCAGTCTCAACAAAAAAGTTGACCGGCTGCATCTTTGATAAATTAAAACCTGGTGATGTAATCGAGCGTGACAATTTCCTGGACGACATTCCACTGATCAAGGAAAACAACTTAGTTTCTGAAGATCGCATAACAAAACGAATTGCAGAAAAGTATAAAAGCTGTAAGATGTGGAAGCCCACTAAGAACAACTGTGAACATCTCTCTACCTACGTGCGTTATGGATTAAAAATTTCACTTCAGGTAGGCAGTTGATTCAACCAAATACACTTTGGGAAAATTACAGAACTAAAAATATATTTAGTTTTTTTGGAATTTTTTTGCCAATTTTAACTTTGAGAAATTGGAAGGGAGGGATTGTGGGGGATTATATATAAGTAAGTACTAAATATATATATAAGTATTTACAATACAGTAATAACAATACTACAATAAACAATAATATAAAACTGGATTAAACTTAAATCATCAATTTGGATAAAACTAATTATATGATATTTACACTGAGCAAAACAACTGTTAATACTTCATTTAGAGTTGTTGATGTGGAGATTAGTAGTGAGGTGAAGTTTCTGGTATTATTGATGAGAAACTGACTTGGAGACCTCATGTTGATTACTTAAGAAATAAACTAGCTAAATCTTGCTTTATAAAGAAAGGGATTGTTTAATGATAAAGCTCTGTATATGTTATAAAATACATTAATTGTTCCACACTTTGTTTATTGTGTTGAGGTATGGGGAGAAAGCATGTAAGACAATTACACATCCTGTTTTTGTCTTGCAGAAAAGAGCTATAAGAGTTATCACACAAAAACATTACTATTATCCATCTAATACATTATTTTTAAACTGAAATTATTGACATTTTATGATTTGGTTGATTACAATATTTTGTTAGTTATGTAAAAGGCTCACCTTCACACATTACCTATAAACATCCAGGAAAACTTTTGCAAAGAGAGTGAGCTGTTATAATCTTAAGGGGACAGAGTTGTTCATGAAACCTAAATTTAAAATATGAAACAGTATAAAGTGTAAACATATAATCTGTTGTTCTTGAATGATTTGATGTTCTTGTTTTGCTTTGTTAACTGAGGATTATTGTTGTTTGAATTTATACTTGAGGAAAAAAGGGGCAGATATAAGATTTTGTTCTTCTCTCTGCTTCCCTTCATTTCATTGTGTTTGTATTTTTATTTTTATTGTGTATAAAATTTTGTTTTTTGATGAAATGAATAAATTTCTATGAATGAATTAATGAATTTTTGCACATCATCACAACAGCTTCATGCTGTTTACAACCTGTCTTAGGAGTATTATAT